ATTTTCTCCTTCCCATGAATCAAGATCGGCTTCATGTGTTCATAAGAAGTTGGAAGAGACCAGATGAGTCTCAACGCCTGATCCTCATCATCAATCTTCACTCCAATGGATGCCAGCTCCGAGACGATCCCATTGAGAACGCTTAAGTGGTCTGAGATGCTTTGACCTTCAGTCATTCGCAGTGTGTGAAACTGCTCCTTCAGATACACCCGATTTGAGACGCCTTTAGCCTGATACAACTCCTCAAGCTTGTCCCATAATGCTTTTGCCGTCGAAATTCCATGCACATTAGCAAGAACATTCTTGGCCAGACACAGTCGTATCGCGCTTGCCGCTCTCAAATCCAGTTCCTCCCAATCTTCATCGCTCATTCCAGATTTGCTCACACCAGCTTTTTCTTCAGTGCTGCTGGTAGTACTGCTTTTGGGAATTTTCGAGCCCTTCAAAGCTTTGTGTAACCCCGACTAAATCAGCACGTCCTTCACTTGCACTTGCCACAAGCCAAAGTTGATTTTTCCGTCGAATTTCTCCACATCAAATCTCGCCAGATTCGATATCTTATTTCCAGACATCTTCGTGAATCAGTGAACACTAACTTCGCAGAAAATCGAGCAGCAACCTTTAATAGTACTGATCAGATAAATTCTCAGGGAGGGTAGCGACCTGCCCCCTAAAGAATTACCCTTCTAAGTAAGCTCCCAGGAAAGGCTGGTGGGGTCACAACGGTCCCACTTAAAAAAACCAGTCTCCTAGACAGAACCTACTTACACAGTAATTATTCCCCACTGCCCAAAAAACTCCTCTGCACACAAGCTCCACCCGTCACTGGCTCCACCGCACAAACAGACCTCTTTAGTATCTTTTCTGATGTGGAAGATCAGACAAAACAGCAAACACAGAGCATACTCAGAATACCAACTAGGCTAACCTCGCTCTGATACCACTTGTTGGGAATTCCAACCACACCGAAACTCCGCCCAAGATCCTCTGAAAATAAAAAACTGGAGAACACAAAATTTAACGTGGAAAACCCTCTGTTAACGAAGAGGGAAAAACCACCAGGGCAACAAGGCCGTAGAAAATCCACTATGTAAAAAAAATTACACCATTTTTCTACCACTCACTTACCCAAAATTACCCACATAATTTTCTACTCGTTAACCCTAACTCTCACCCTAAGGAATTTTTACCCTAAGGAATTTTTTACCAGAGATTAATTGTTAACACAATAACTCTGTGGGATGATTTTACATAAGAAGTAGCACCTTCTTATATAGGGGAAAAATCCCCTCCTCTCTCATCCCACTTTCGATGTGGGACAAAAGAGCAAAACCCAACAGATACTTGTAATATTATTAAAAAAGTCTCTAAAATCCTTCATTTTAAAAAGTCTTGTAAAGTCTTTTTACTTTGAATACCGGTGACTTATTGAGATTCTTATTCTTATAAAGTTTCAATTGAATACACTAAGACTTTTAGAAATTTTTATAAAAAAAAGTTTTTGAAAGTCTCAATTGAATACATGTAGACTTTTTAGAAGTCTCAAAAAGTTTTAATTAAACATACCAGAATTGAAAGGTTTAAAAAGTCTTTGAATACACCCTTAGAGACTTTTTAAAATTTGAGATTTTTAAAGTTTTTCGAAGTTTGGAGTAATCCTGTGAATCTTAAGTCTTGAGGTGAAATTTGAAGTGAGATTTCGTATATGTTTTTTTCTCCTTAGAAATCCCAACAAATCTTAAAAAGTCTTAATGAATCCTAGTCTTAAATAAGTTAAACACCTTAGGATTTTATAAGACTTTTTAAAATCTCAAATGAATAGCTCAAAACGTTTAAAAGTCTTGATAAGTGTCTTAAAAAGTCTTTAAAAGTTTTAGAAATCATTTCGTTTGGGATTTTTTGTGATATTTTGAGATTTGAGACTTTTCCATATTTTCAGATTTTGGAGGATTCCTATGAAACTTTAAGGGGTGTATTCATTTAGGATTTCTAGAGACTTTGTAATACTTTAGAAATCTTGGTGTATTTAATTTAAACTTTTTAAGACTTCTAAAAGTCTTGGGGTATTTATTTAGAATTTTAAAAAGTTTAACAAAATCCAGAGATAGTTGACTTTTTATTTGATATTATGATTTATGAAGACTTTCTAATATTAGTTGGGATTTTTAAAGAAAAAACCTTATACAAAATCTCACTCTAAATCCTACCTCCAGACTTAAGATTTTTATAAGATTCCTACAAAATATGAAAATCTTTAAAACTCGAAATTCCAAACGAATACATCCCCCTAAGTCTGGAGGTGGGATTTTGAATTAAATTTCGTATAAGATTTTTCCAGTCATACTTAAAAAGTCTTAACAAATTATGTCTTAAATAAGTTAAATACCTCAATATTTTGTAAGAATTTTTAAAATTCCAAATGAATACCCCAATACTTTTAAAAGGTTTAAAAACTCTAAATTAAATGCACCAAAATTTTTAAAGTCTTAAAAAGTCCTAAGAAAACCTAAATAAATACGCCCCCTTATTATTTCAATTTCCAACGCGCCACGTCATTGAACTCCAATCTTACTCGCACTACGATGTCATGATTAGTATAATGGTATAATATGGGAATTGAATTATCGTTATCTTACTCATTTCTAATCTCATGATTGTTATATTTTATAGGAATGAATTGACATTATAATTAATGGTAATTGCAAAATACATCGATGGGGTTAGCCAAATATTTTGGATTTACTTTGAAAAAAAAAATAAAACTAGCAAATAATGATAAACAATAAATATATACATAGTATATAACATAAAATAAAGATTAAATTATATTAAAAAATATTTTAATAAATAAATTTCAAATCCATATAAAAATAATTTTATTTTTATTTATTATTCATATTTTACTATGTTAAATAATTATATATAAATAAAATTTAAAACAATTTATAAATAATTTTAATGGATCTTATTTTTATATTTATATAATCATTTATATTATATATTTATTATTAATTGAATTAAATTATAAATAACTAAGTGAATCTTAAGATTTTAAAGATTATATCAAAGATGAAAAAAGATATTCTTTTTATAGTCAGTATGTATAGATATGTTGTAAGATATTTAGGGGACGCTTGTTTATGGATTCTTTCAAGTTGAATTAATTGAGTGAAATTCCATTTTAGACAACTACACCATCTAGCTATCTCGTGGGCCCACGTGTCTCCTTTGATGTAGACATCCTCCACTTTAGTGGTATGGAACCTGACTTGTACCCTTATTTTATTATTTTATTGAATGCCAAAATAAATTCACTTCCCAACTGCACCGTTCATAACTTTCTTTATTGTTTATTATTATTATTTTTTTTCA